TCGGACGTAGCATGTCTGAGGCTAGTTCACGTCGCATTGCATTAGTGGACCTCTTTAAGACACGATTATATAATACTGTTCGTTTATTAGTTTGTTTATTATCGTTTATTGTATTTGCGTAATACTTTGGATTTGTTTTTTTTAGTGAATTATTTTTTTTTTCCTTAATACCACTATCCAGATTTAGTGCTAACCTTTTCTTTTTTTTCTTTTCTCTTTCTCGCCTTTCTTCGCGTTTTAGATTTGTCGCTTTACCTTGAGTACATTTTTGCGCTTTCGTCGTATCGAGTGTTGCAGCCGTAATTGATAGATCGTAGGGAATAAATAACTTTCAAGAGGCTCACACCCTCTTTTTTGACACGAACTCTTTTTACTCTAACTATAATGAGAACGTACATAAAATCCGTAATAACCTCAATGTTTCTTTGTTAACTAACTGAACTGAATTGTCTTTTTCGCGCGTGCTGCCTCAGCGCGCCTCTCGCGCGTACTCACTATTAGCAATTGTTTTGGCGCGTATTTAACAATCTCTTTCACCTTGAGTTGCGTCTTTTTGATATAGGAGCAACTCAATTTACTTAAAAATAGGAAAGACAAACGAAAAATAAAACAATACCAAAAAAATTATAAACCAAATTGTTCTGGCTTCTTGATAAGACGACCGCTCCGTGTTTTTAAACTCCTCTCCATTGTGGGTTTCATCTCTTCCTTGAGAGTATGTTCTGGTTTCTCGTTGGTTTTGGATAGAATTTGAGTTGACCCAAGAAATCTGTTGATTTTTACATCGGAATGTTCTACCTCTAGTGGAATCAATCTTGATATTGAGCGAATTAATTCACCTTTTCTCGTTTTGAGCTTCACGACTCGTATACGTCCATCTTTTCCAGAAAAAACTTCTTTGACTATTGCTAGCGGCCAGTCCAGACGTTTATATAATAGAATTTTAATTCTAAAATAATTGTGTGCTTTATTTATATTTCAAATCCTATCCCTCAAATTGGATCACCCTGTACTTCGTACGTCTGGATAATTGTCCCAGATACTGGATGCGAAAACGTTTTCTTAGTTTTTCCTTTAATTTCAGCCGATAGCGTATCCTTTTAGCAAAATGGGACTTGTTGATTTGATCCAAATCTGGAACGCCAGTTTCGCGGACATCACTGATGAACATGGCAGGCGTGATTGCTGTAATCTCGGTGCTTTCTTCTGACAGGTAATTAAGTGGTCTCGAGTTTATGATGGATTCACAGTCACATAGGACAGTGTTCATCTCTTCGTAGTTCAGCGAAGTTCTTCTTAATGTTTTCTTCAGCAAATCTTTCAGAAGACGGATAAGTCGCTCCCACCATCCTCCTTACCAAGGAGCTAAGGGTGGGTTAAAATTCCACTCTATCTTATTAAGAGTGCAATACTGAGTAATTTTCTCCCAGTTGATCTTTCGTAGCAACTTCGCGAATCCTACGAAATTTTTGCTATTATCGCTGTAGACCAGGCTTGGCCCTGTGGGCGCCCACGGAGCACGCGAGGAGGAGAACGTGCCCTCTCTTCGCGCGGCTGCTTCTTCCCCTTCTTCCTTTCTGGCCCCTCGATCCACCTATCCCCTCCATACGGCCGTCATTCTCGCAGTGATGCCTGACTATCGTCAATTCTCGTGCGCTCTGTCAGATATTCGTCAGCCCGATCAGCGATATTTGTTCTCAAATCTCAAAGCGATATCTTCATTGTTCTTCAGATTATTTTTTGTTATTCTTTCTGTTATTTTTTCTGTTATTCTTCTTGTTATTCTTTTTGTTATTGTCTGTTGTTGTTTTGTGTTTTTGCAATTTGCAATATTTGCAAAATATTTTGCAATAATTTTTATTTAAATTTTACTTTTTTGTTTTTTCACAATGGCGAAAAGACAAAAGATACTTTCGTTTTTAACAAAATGGGAAAATGATTATTTCTTCATTAAAGATGATAATTCATTACTATGCCTCATATGTAAAAGTAGATTACATACTTTTAAAAAGTATAATGTACAAAGACATTACGCTAAGTTCCATGAGCTTGAATTTCAAAAATATGACGGAGAACTTCGTAAAAAAAAAAATATGCAAATTGAAAAATGAAATAAAATTATTTCAAAATTCTCCCAAGAAACAAGACTTTAATATTGAGAAAAAAAACAAATTATGCATGCTTTATATGATGTATCGCTCGAAATAGCTCACAGTAAAAAAAGTTTTTCTGATGGATTAATGATAAAAAAATATGCAATTAAAATGGCCAAAGCTTTCAAGGAAGATTTATTAGCTGAGAAATTTAAGTCTGTTCCTCTTGGTCGTCAAACAATTGTGAGAAAAATTACTGATATTAATGAGCATTTATGTAATAAACTAAAAGCTATGATAGAAAATGCGGTTTATTATTCTTTCTGTTTAGACGAGAGTACAGATATTTGTAACATCAGTCAATTAGTATTTTTATTAGAACAATACAAGAAGATTTTGTAGTTAATGAAGAAATGCTAGGTTTGGCATCACTGCACAATACGACGAAAGGAGTCGATATTTATGATGCTTTTATTAAAATAACTAAAAAATTCAACATCGATTTTAATAAATGTTCAGCTGTCGTCACAGATGGTGCCCCAGCAATGATTGGCTTGAAAGAGGGCTTTTTTGGCTTATTAAAGAAAAATGACATCACTTGTTTAACTATTCATTGCTTAATTCATCAGGAAGCATTATGTGGAAAAGCCATTAAAATGTGCCATGCCATGAAATTAGTTACCTCAATTACTAATTTTATTAGAGGTGGGCATAAATCGTTGTCGCACAGACAATTTAAAAATTTTTTACAAGAAATTAATGCAACTTATAAAAATTTGCCCCTTCATTGTGAGGTACGATGGCTAAGTGCTGGAAAATGCTTGCAGTACTTTTTTGCCATAAGAAAAGAAATTTTACAGTTTTTGCAAGAAGAAGTATCCAGTAATACTATTCATTTTGAGAAAGCTTTAATGGACAAAGATATGTTGAGTGAATTAGCTTTCTTAACGGATTTTACTCAACATATGAACAATTTGAATTTAAAATTGCAAGGAAAAAATCAATCAATTAGTGACATTATTCATTTTATAAATGGTTTCCAAATTCAATTAAATATGTTTAAAATAGAAATTGAAAACGAAGAATTTCATCATTTCCCTTGTTGTGGAGAAATAAAAAAAGAACACTCCGATGCTGATTTTACTGTCTTCGGAGACTTAATTAATGAAATTGCAATTAAATTTAATTCTTGATTTAAAGAATTACTCATATTAAAAGATGATGTGTTATTATTTAATAATCCTTTGGCCGTATCAATTGAAAATCAAAATATTAAATATCGGGTTGAATTGTGCAATTTGCGAGCTGATCCTTATCTTTCAATGAAGAAAGAAATAGGCACTGATTTTTTTAAACTTCTTCCGAAAGATTTGTACTCTGAGCTTCGAATTTTCGGTCTTAAAATGGCTTCGATGTTTGGCACTACTTACTCATGTAAAAGTGCTTTTTCTGTAATGAAACTGATAAAAAACAAAAATAGATCTTTATTAACTGATAATCGGTTATTAATTTTAATGCGAATTGCGATAAGTAAAATAGAAATTGACATAGAAGAACTCGTGAACATAAAGTTTAATGATAACATTATTTTTAAAAAATTTACTTTTTATAAAATTAGTTTAAAAAACTTTTAATTATAAATATTAATTACCTTTTCTATATATATATATATATATATATATATATATATATATAGTTATATATTCTTATATAGTTTATTGATTTTAATTATATATATAATTAACATATATAATGCACAACTACGAATTGATGCGTGCAATGTGCAATGGCTTTGCCTCGCGTAATACGGCCCTACTATACTACAGTATGTGCATGTGACTCGCGCGAGTGGAAGAGGAAACGGAGAAGCTCGAGCTATAGTTTGTGGGCCAAGCCTGCTGTAGACGACAGAAGGCCTTCCTCGACGGGCTATGAATTTTCTGAAGGCTTCCAGAAATTCTTCCGTTGATAAAGACGTAACCAGTTCTAAATAGATCGCCCGGTATACTGCGCACGTGAATAGACAGGTGTAGGCTTTGCGCTCACCGCTTAAGAAAAGAGGGCCCGCGTAATCGACGCCTACTATCTCGAACGCTGCGGCGTCTCGTACTCTGTTTTCTGGTAATAATCCAGGTGGGGCTTCCATGTTTCTCGTCGTATGTCGGCGGCATACGGTACACTTGTGTATAACGGATCGTACCGTACGACGATATCGAAGAATTCAAGATTTCTCGCGTAAATTGTTTATCACAATGTCGATGCCAGCGTGATTCAATTTCAGATGGGTATAATGGACAATCCTCTTATTAATAAGTGTTAATAAGTGTGTCGAGTCCAAGATTATAGGGCATCTAAAATTGAACGTATCCTGGCGATTAGATATTATCGTTTTTGTATAACCTCTTTTTCTTCAAAGACATTTAAGCCTTGTAACATCGGATCGTTTGTTCCCGTGAATGATTCTTTCTGGGCCAGCTTACAAAGGAGTAATTCTGCCGCTGTAATCTTTTTTGCGCTTAATTCTTGATTGCCGATTGCATGGATCCTTCGGCAATTATTTGTGAATCTCAACATCCACACCATTGTGCGTAAAATTTTAGAGTATATTGAGAATTTCTGCAAGTACCAAGGAATATCTTCTTCGTTGGCCTCTTTTGTGGAATTGACCATAACAATTCCTTTCGCAATACTCTCGAGGGAGGTTTTCTCCTTAAACCGAATCGAAGTCTTGCGTAGCTCAATATTAATCATTTCTTCGTTTCTTATTCCTTCGTAGATCAATCTTCTGTAGGCAGCTTTCACCATTCGGGTCCCTCCCACCATTTCGACTTGAGGAGTTTTTTCGCATTACACCCTCGAGAAGGTAAGTCCGCGAGATTCATGATTCCAGGTACATATCTCCAAGACTCAACATCCGTAAGGTTTCTTATTTCTTGGACATGATTCCATACAAATATCACCCATTGCCTTGCTTGTCGTATCCATGTCAGAACAGTAGTCGAATCGCTCCAAAAATATCTTTTGACGTCTTGATAATCCATTGCCTTATTAAAAGAGTGCATCATTCTTGCTCCAATAGAGGCAGAAAGCAGTTCAAGCCGCGGCATAGTTTTCTTGCCTTTTGGTGCTACTCTCGATTTGGCCTCAATAAGGTGTACTTTGACTCCCATGTTCGATTTCACTCGGACGAAGAGAGCAGCAGCGTACGCATCCTTGCTTGCATCGATAAAGACATGAAAGGACAATGAATCGGCATTCCTTTCTTCACTGAAAATCGAATGTGGAAATCTCAGAACATGAAGAAGATCAAGTTGCTGTGTCCAGTTGAGAAATTTATTTTTATGATTTATTATAAATCGATTTTCGTATCCCAGTCTATATCTTGACTCCAGAGATGCTGTAACAACAATTTCGGTTTTAACAGTACGGGACAAATAATTCTGAGCGGATCGAATACTTTCTGCACTTGTGATAGTACGACTTTCTTCGTTATCTTCTCTGTAATCGGCTGTGAAGGAAAATCCGATAAAAAAAGATTATTATCCTCAGTATTCCAGATAAGTATGAGTACGGTTAACCGATTCTCGTGCTTCATGCCCGTATGTTTCCAGTCCTTCAATTCGAATTTTGCTTTACTCAAAAGAGAACTTGCCTTTTCCTGAAAAATCTCAAAGTCAGAGTAAGAATCGACGCTAGCAATACAATCATCGACATAAAAGGATTTTGCCAATTTTTCATAAACCAATTTCTTATGTGGCAAAACAGTAGAATTTAAGGCCCTCTCAATAAGTAATTCTATAGTAGCTTCTAGAAGGAAATAAACTGCTAGTTATACCGAAAACGACCCGACGATGTCGATAAATCTCTATTTCTCCATCCATATCCCACTACAGGAATCTCAACACATCCCTCTCTGACGAAGAGATGTTAATTTGTAAGAACGCTTTGGCTATATCTGCGGTTACTCCTACTTTTCTTTCGCAGAACCGATGCAATAATGTAGGAATGAGTTCGATGAGATTAGGACCTGTCTCTAAGCATTGGTTAAGTGACGGCGAATCGCTACTTTCCGCTGAAGCGTCGAAGACAGGACGAATCTTAGTGGTTCTTTTTCTCTTAATGACAGGCCTGTGTGGAAGGTAATAACTTTTCTTGGTGATTTCGGATGCAGGCACTCTTTCAATGATACTTTCCGCGAGCCAGTTGAAAAAGATTGTGTTATAGTTATCAAACAAATCTTTCTGTTGCAGTCTCTTCGTGACGTTGAATCTTCTCTCCGCTATGTTCCTGTTGTCTTGCAAAGGTGGATGATTGTCCTTCCAGGGAAGAAGGACTTCATAACGGCCTTCATCGTTAATCTCTGTCGTTTCTTGGAACAATGCTTTAATTTCAACTTGACGAGCTTCTCTTGTAATGTTTTCTATAGGGTTAGTATACCCAAAGTGTCAAATTTCCACAAATCTGATGTTTGCTTCTTGAGAGAACATGGAAACAATCATCATTGCTGCATCGGTTTTATTGTTATCATCTAAATTTTTGCCTAGGATCGTCCAACCAAGCTTAGTTTTTAGAGCAGTTATGCCTTGACTTATCTGAAGAATTCTACCCGTAATTATCTTGCCAGCAACATCAGCTCCGATCAGCAACGAAACGGATTCTCTATTTCCATCGGTGTCGCTCAGAAATAAGTTCTTTTCTTTAAGCATATCTATCCATGGACTGCTACTTACACTGGGAATATCTTGACAGATAATGTCTTGTTCTAAGGCTACGAAATCACACGTATATGTTCCATCCAGGTTGCCAACGTAGATTCGACAGGTTTTATGTTTTTGAGGTTTAGTCTTGGCTCCTTCAAATAGTAAGTGTATCATCGTTTGCTCACTCACAGTTTCGTATCCAAGATTCTTTATTACTTTTTCTAAGACATAAGACCTGTGTGAACCAGTATCTATAACAGCGCGGACGTTTACGAGGTCTTTTGGACCACGCATCTTGACCTTTAATATAGGCAAAAATGATTTATTCGAAGAAACATTGGCGAGATAACTGTGTCCTTCGTTAAATGCTTGTTCGCTGGACTTTTCTTCATCGACTCGTTTCGATTTGTTCTTGCTTGAGAGATTTCGACACATCAAGAGACAATGTTCCTTGCTACACCAAGGACATTTTGTTTTGCTGTGGCATTTTTTGTAACTGTGTTCTATTTTCAGACATTTGAAGCAGCCATTTTTGTCTTTTACGATCTTCATTCTTTCATCTATGTCCATGTTTCTAGCTTTCTCGCAACTCGAGCTATTATGATTCTCTCCGCAGAATAGACATCGTTGTGATCTTGATTCTTTTATGGATAGTAGACCAGTCGCTGTAGCTACTTTCTGATCTTGATCTCCTTTCGCCTTTTTCTTTTTTTTGTTTTTGGACCTCTGGACATCATTACTTTCAAAACACGTTTTAGCCATTTGAATGCGTTCTTCACTTTCGACCTCTCTTCCTAGAAAAACCATAAGATTAGTAAGACGGTCTTTGGCAGTGAGATTTGCAACAAATGCATCTGTTTGGAGGGCTAATTGTGTCATTGTTCGTTGCCATATTCGCAAAGTGTCTTCTAGCAATGAAGACTCTACCAAGGGGAATAACATAGCCGCGCACATATCTGTCGTTACACCCAGAGTCTCGAACGCTCGAATATGTGTTTCTTATATATCATAAATGGTCATAAGTGACATATTTCTATTCTTGTTCAAAACTAACTTTAAGAGTTCGCGCACGTAAAACTCAATCAATAAATCTTTCTTGCCGAATCGAGACACGAGGCTTTGTACGGCCTTTTTATAATTGTCCGCCGTTAGAGGAAAACAATTCACGACTTCGGATGCACGCGAGTCTTTCACGGTAGATTGTGTTAAATATTGAAATTTATCCTTCTTTGACAACGTTGCGTCTTCGAGAATCTGCTAAAATGCACTCCAGAACGGTAGTCAGTCTTTAATATCACTCCCGAATTTTCTTAATTTGATTTTCGACAATTTTAATGCGCGTATACTTTTCTGAGCTGTTGCGATCGTATGGAACGACCGTTGAGATAAAGCCGGTGCCGGTGGCCCGCGAGCTTCTTGCCGTTCGGTCAAACAGGTTAGCAGGAGTTTTGCCTGATGGTATTTTGCTGCATATTCGTCTGTCTGTTCTATCTCTCCGCCAATGGCTTCTTCTGATTCTCCAGCTTCAATCATCAACTCTCGAAGCTTTTGGCTTAGCTCATTGAGTTCACTTGCTTTCTCTCAAATTAACGCAAAATTAATTTGCAATGAGGTTATGTCCGGCGATTCTTTCGCTTTCTCTGCTCGAAAGAAATTGTACGCTCTCGTAAAAGCAGATCGTGTTACCTTCTGCGATAGCTTTACTCTATCCATTGTATCTGTTAATTATTTCCACTACGAATCTCTTCTCACTTGTGAAACGGTCAGCAACGAAAATTTCAAGTCCTGTCACGGTCGCCAGAATGTTGCAGCCGTAATTGATAGATCGTAGAGAATAAATAACTTTCAAGAGGCTCACACCCTCCTTTTTGACACAAACTCTTTTTATTTTAACTATAATGAGAACGTACATAAAATCCGTAATAATCTCAATGTTTCTTTGTTAACTAACTGAACTGAACTGTCTTTTTCGCGCGCGCTGCCTCAGCACGCCTCTCGCGCGTACTCGCTATTAGCAATTGTTTTGGCGCGTATTCAACATCGAGAATAAATTTAAGCCGACGATTGTCGTTGGGAATTAACATAACGGACCTTTCTGCCAATCTATCTACCGCCGATTCTTTTCGTATCGCTTTCCTTCTTTTCTTTTTTTTCTTTTTTTTCTTTTTTTACTGCTGAGTGCGTTTTCTTTCCTTCCCGAGTGCGAATCTCAGGTTTAGCGTTACACCTGATAAAGTAATTAGGATTGTATCTGCGTGACCTTGTCGACTTCTCGTAACATGGTAAGTTTCGACTTCCGTTCCGATTATAGATTCCGATACCGAGTGTTACTGTATCGTATAAAAGATTTGAATTGCGTTAACTAACTACGTTCCATATGAGGGAAAATAGCAATCCTTACCAGTGAATACATGATTTAACGGTAGAATAAGCGCGACAACATCTTGAAGATAGGAGGCTGGGACTTCAAGGGATTTTACCGATTTTGCGTGTGCGTCTCCCCAATAAACATTAGGACATTCTATGTACGTCCTATGTATATACATATATGTATATTGTATATTCTATGTATATACAGAAAATGTGAAAAGTATATAAAGCGCATATCCTATGTATGTGAAATAATTACCACATGTATGTACATAGAATGTCCATAGTACATACATAGGTATATTCCAAAAATATGCAGTGTACATTTGTGGTATATACATGGGGTATATTCCGAGGATGTGCAGTGCACGTTCGCAGTATGTACATAGGAGATATTCCGAAGATGTGCAATACAAATTCGTGGCATGTACATGAGGTACATTCTATGTATGTACATAGTATATACAGTACGTTTTTTAATAATAAACAATTTTCATTTATTCGGATATTTATCTACCCAATTTTTGAACAATCAGTTTATCTAAATTCCCTGTGTTGGGATTCAGATATTAAACTGATAGAAAAAGTTATTACATCTTCAAATTGAAGACTTCAATATTATTACCCGCCTTTTGCAAGTTTTATATAGTTTTCATGATTAAAACTTAAATACGAGATAGATAGCGCATAACGCGTCATATAGCGGAAAGCGAACGAACTAATAACTGATTCTATGTATATCCATAAATGTACCTACATCAGTGTATATCGTATGTATGTACGTTACATGTATTATATACACATGGAATGTACACGAGGTATATTCTATGTATGTACAGGCAGCGATCTCGTTCAAATATACATGCTATGTATATTCATAAATGTACCTACATCAGCGTATATCGTATATATGTATGTTACATGCAGGGAAGTAACGCGTTACTTGTAACGCTGTTACCGTTACAATTACTTTTTTTCGGTAACTGTAACGGTAATGGCGTTACAAATTTTTTTTGTAACGAAAAAAGTAACTTTGTTACATTTTTCGGTAACGAGTAACAAATTTAACAGTTATTTTTATCGTTACATTTTTCAAATTTACTCTATATATCTACGAATTTATAAAAAACTACAATAGAAACTTTTTAATTTATATTTACAGCATCTAAAAATTTTTAAGAAAGCTGGTTTACAACTTATTAAAAATTTTTCTTATTTAAAATATTTTATTATCAAAATTATTACTTTTATTATATATTATTAAAATTATTACACTTTATATTAATAGCGATATCATTATTAAAATTATATCATTTTTTTTATTTTAATGAAAAATAATGTTCAAAAATTTTTAATGTTTACTGTAAATTTGTAGTGTTTAATTTAATCTTGTATTAGAAAAATTGTGCATAAAATTTGTATTATGCATAAAAAAAGTAACGGAAATTGTAACAATTTGTTATTTTTTGAGTAACGGCAACGGTAACAAGTTTCTTTTTAAAATTGGTAACGAGTTACTTTTTAGAAAAAAGGACGGTAACAGTAACGAGTTACTTTTATAAAGTAACTTTGTCAATCTTGGTTACATGTATATACATGAAATGTACACGAGGTATATTCTATGTATATACAGGCAGCGATCTCGTTCGAATATACATTCTATGTATATCTATAAGATATCTTATGTATATCCACAAATGTATCTACATCATATGTATATCATATGTATGTACATAGTATATACAGTACATTTTTTTCACATTATGTATTTCATGTATATACATAGGATATCGAATGTTTACTGGGTCTTTCGATACGAAGAAGCGAGACAAGGCGGATTCCTTCCACCTCCTACGCCTAGTTCGGCTAAAGACGCTGCAATGTCTTTGCAGGACGACTTATTGCCGAATGAATCGATTCCGCGGAGAGAGGGTGCCTCCTTAGACCTACGTTACGAGGGTCCCGCTCACTTTACGTTTGGGGAGGGGGGGGGAGGCAAGGAAGAAGAAGCAGAGGAGGGCCGCTACGACACCCAACAACCGAACCGTTCGGGAGCCTGCCGTCCCGCGCCTGCTCGACCTTCGTCCCTTGCGTGCGTCCACTGCCGAGGTTTACAATTTGATGAGAAAGTGGAATCTCCAATTTTTCGGGAAACGGGGTAGTGATGCGGAGGCTTTTCTGCTCCGAATCAAAGAAGCCCGAAGGCTATCGTATCTATTACCGATACCGATTTGTTTAAGTGTGCCGTTATTCCTTTGGGATGTCGCTTTTGTATTGGGTCTGTTTAGAGAGTGAAAACTGGTGGGACTGGAGCGATTTTGAGACGGCATGGCGCGCTCGATTCGGGGACCCGAATTATCAATATGCGCTTTGCGACGAGATATTTTGGAGAACCCAAAGGGAACACGAGGCGGCTGCCGACTACTTGACATATTTACGTGCACTTCTTAGTAGAATGACGCCCTCCTGGCCCTTGGCGGAGCAATTAAATTTTGCGCATCGCAACATGCTGCCGCGTCTACAAATCGCGATCCGTCGTCAGGAATTTTCTGATTTTTCAATGCTAGAGTATCTAGCCACGCGAGTAGAGCGTAGTTACCTCGCGGAGAAAAACTATCGATCCCCGCTACCGCCAGAACAGTCCATCTTTCCGGATTTGGTCTATCACGCCAAAGGGCAAATCGAAGAGTCCGGCTACAGTTGCTACCACCGCCTCCGGCAAAAAAGAGAAAAAAAAACAAGCTAAGTCCGCGACCGCGACCGCCGCAAAAACCGAAACCGCAAAAGTTACTGCCACTGCTACCGCTTCCGATCCAGCAACGAATGCTGCCGTTCCTGCTACCGCTACCGCTACCACTACCGCCTCCAGTACAGTGAAAGACTGGAACTGTGATAAAACCGGCCATCGCGCGAGTGAATGTTCTGAGCCACGCAGAAGATATTGTTACCGATGCGGAAAACGCGATTTTACCGTGAGTACTTGCCCCGTGTACGGGAAACACGACCCGGAGCTAGTAGAGAGGGTCCGAGTCCCGAAGGCGAGACCCGAACATTACCGTTGGATACCGAACCATTAATACAGTTTTATGTTACCTTCGAACATGAGGAGCTACCGCCCTTACGATATCTCAAGATTAGGATACGCGAACATACACTTGCGGCCTTCGTAGTCTCGGGGTCAAACCGAACGCTATTAGGCCGCGAAGGAATCAAAATCATTCGCACCCTAGGCATTGCAACTACAAGAAATAGAGGTATTCAGATCCGCACTGCAAACGGACAGCTCGCAAATATTAAAGAGGAAATCAGAATACCGATTGAATTGGAAAATCAGTGTCATGAAGTTACCGTGGCATTATTGCCGAGTTTAGCCGTATCTTGTATTTTAGGAATAGATTTCTTGACAAAAGGGTATAGCAGGATAAGCACGTGTGTGCTGCCCCCTGCCGGATCTGGTCGAGATTTTAACTATAAGTCACCACTGACACGTATTATTATCCCAAAAGCATATTTTCCAAATATGATTTTTACGAGAGTTATGGAAGTATAAAGAAAAAAAGAAAAAAATTTTTTTCTTGATAACGGTTTGACTAAATTTGGCGAAAGAAAAATGTTATGCGCTTGAATGGGATAATATTTTGAAAAAATTAAGAGACAATTTTGTCGAATAAAAATGGTTAAAAAAATTGTTAAATTTTTTTCAAATTTTTTTAAGGGATATAATCAAGACATTACTCCTATTTTTTAAAAAACAAAACTTTGAATACTTAAGTATAATATAAAAAATTTTCAAAATAATTGAAAAGGTAGTACTTAGTTAAAAAAATTAAAGTTCTCGACGGTGCGCACGCGGTGAGCTATCACGTGTCGTGCTTGTTTATTATGAATATCCTCACCTCTCAGGAATCAATCTGCTTATTATCTGCTAGACCCCTTCAACCCTTCAATCGTCGCTGTCTTCTTCGATTATTGGAGTATAATTATGCTGCTGGAACAGTTTGCTGAGAATTTTAGCTGGTTTTAATAGTTAGGACAAATATCTGCCATGAGCTTCAACTGTCCATCGAATTTTCGTCATATAACGAGATTCATTCGATTCATTTGTAGTCAACTGCTTACGTTTCCCTTTCAGGGCAGGCATCAATATGTTGAATTTCCTTTTT